CGAGCCGGGATGACTGCGGGAATTCGCTGACCGCGGCTGAAGCCACCCCTGAGTCCAACGAGCAGGGAGAGGACGTCCTCACTTTATCCCACACACCCGTCAACGTCCGGGCCCCAGTGACCAGCCCGGCCTTGGAGGCCGGCACCCAAGACCCAGCCGGCGACGACGCCCCCATAAAAAGTAAAGGGTATTACTTTCTACCCGGCGACAGTGAATGCGACCATACTGCACAGACTTCATCCCCCGCCTCCCATTCGGCACGCCCAAGCCGGAAATCGGACGCGAAAACTGGACAGATGGCCACTGGGCTAGAGCAGAGAGCTCGCTCACGCTCAGGAAGACGCCGTGATGACGATAAGTGGTATCTGGGTGAGAGGGCAGCCATCAAGGAGGCCCCGCAGCGTAGACCCGGGCCAACAGGCCAAAGCAATGATAGCGACGCTCCACCACACGCGAAGGCTCAGAAGCTCGAGAAAGACGGTGTAGGCCACGGAGTGGTGTAGGCTAAGGGGAACCACCCCCCAAGCCCCAAAACGCACGTCACTGAAGTGGCGCGCCTGCCCTGTCGGCTTCACGGCCCTTTTCCCTTCCTCTTGTTCGCTCTGGCCGCACTATGTCCCACTTGCCTTCCCTTCTCCTTCTGGTGCAGCACCCTCCTCGCCCCTTTCTGTCGGCACGCGGCTGTCGCCTATCTTGCTCGGTGCATTCGCTCACCCTGCTTTACTTCTCCCCTCCAGCGCTTGGCACCGCGCCCAATCGGCGGATGACCGCCACGCTGCTTGCGAGCCTCGATACTTCCCGCATTTTGTTTTCTTCTTTTTAAGGTTTTTGATGGCCTTTTTGAAATTGGCTACGTGGAATATCCGACGGTTTGGAGATACTGCGAAACAAGCAGCCATCCTAGGTTTCGCTAGGAACCAGAACATAGACCTCCTCTTTATTCAAGAGGCGAATTTCCGAACGCCGCTGGATGTGGCTAATTTCCGCCGAGATCATCAGATCGACGCCTTTTTTTCTCTGGCGACCCTGAGAGCATGCGGGGTCGGAGTAATATTCGTATCTGGCAGATTTAGATCAACATCCCATTGTATTTTCGGGGCGAATGGTCGGTACATAATGATTGACATTTTCATCGAAGGCAAAAAGATACGCATTGTGAACGTCTATGCCCCCGTGACAAGAAAAGATACGAATAAGTTCTTTCAAGAGATGCACCAACTCCTCCTAGAGCTAATTTCCCACGTACTGGTCAGTGATTTTAATTGCGTCGTAGATTCTAACCGGGACGTGAGGGGGCCAAGCCAAGGAAGATCAACCTACAATGCAAAAGAGTTGGTGAAAACCCTTTGGCACCTAGACCTCTCGAACACATGGGTACACCTATATAAAGACCGCTTCGTAGCAACCCGTACCTCTAGATCAGCAGGAAGTAGAATAGACCGGATGTACTTTCCGGACCTCCTCCTACATTTGGTTGAAGGATGCGAAGTACTCGCGCTCCCGGCCAACCTGAAAAAGAAGACGGATCATGCCCCGCTCGTCACGATGGTAAAGGGATCTGCCGGCCCGCACTGTGATAACAATAGCTGGAGAATAGACGCTGAGCTGCTGAGATATGAGACTTGCGTAGAAAACTTGAAAGCTGCCATCAGCGCATCAGTAAAAAATGCCGGACATATTACCCTTCCCCCCTCTGTGGGATAACCTTAAGGAAGAATGGAAGGCCCTGTTACAAAAAGAATGCAAAGCCAGAAAAAGACGTCATACACAAAAGATGAAAGAACTTCTTCGCTGAATCCAGATCATCAAGGCAGCCGACACGTTGACCTCATGTACAACAGAGTACCTGACCTCGATGAGCAATACAACCAACTCCTCAGAGATGCCATGAGGCGACCTAGAAATGAGCATGGACTGTTGGGCATGGCGACCGGAGTTGATATGAGGGAAGTACGTGGAAATGGCTGTTTGCGAATTACGGAGGCAAAGCGCTTAGACGGTTCTGTAACCGACGACCCAGTAGAAATTGAGAATATCTTCAGAGAGTACTTCAGCATACAGTTCCAAGACACCGAACCAATAGACACCAATCGGGGACCCGACCATGTCAAAGAATTTTGCAAGCATCTGCAGCAAATTAAGGAGGAGGAGGAGCCAGCAACTCTTAGCGCTGAAGTATCCCCTGCAGAGTTACGCGAAGCCATAAGAAGCATGACCCCCAATTCTGCCCCAGGCGCAGTGGTCTGACTGCAGCCTTCTATGTGACTTTTCTCGAAGTTCTCGAAGAACCCTTGCTCGCGATGGTGAATGCGCTCTTCAGGTCCTTTACGAAACCCGACTCCTTCGGAGTGGGTAAAATTGTGCTACTACAGAAAGAGGGTGCACAACCAAATGAGCCCACGGCGTGGCTTCCAATCACGCATTTGAACACAGATTACCGGACATCATTAGCCCGTACCGGACATCATTACCGTACCAAACGGTAATGATGTTACCGGACATCACTCTTACCGGACATCATCAGCCCGTACCATACGTGCGAGATTCCAGGGAGGTCGCTTTTTGCGAACCTCACAGTGATCCTTGACTCTTTCGAATACGCGACGACAAGAGTTTCAATGGTGTTTTTATTTCCCTAGACCAAGCTAAAGCTTTTGACAGGGTTCGGCACCATTACCTCTTCGACGTGTGCAGGAGTTTGGCTTACCGGCAAGTTTTATAAAATTGGCAAAAACATTGTACGAGGACCTAACCTGCACCGTTGTGATGAACGGAGTCACAACGCCGGCATTAGAGTATAACAGAGGCATAAGGCAAAGATGCACATTGGGCCCGGCCTTTTTTGTCATGTCGTGCGAGCCACTGATCACAAGTGTTATTGCGCATGAAGGCGTTCAGGGCTTCCCACTGACGGGCCAGGAGCAGGTGAAAGTGCTGGCATACGCGGATGACATTTCCCTGTTTGTTCCGGATGAAAGCAGCCTCCAAGCCTTCAGTGCGACGTTCACAAGATACGCGCAGGCATCCGGAGCGGCGATAAATGCGGACAAGAGCAAGGCGATGCTATTTGGAACTTTCCCCATAAAAGCCATAGGAAACATCGAAGTGGTGTCCATCGTTAAAAGTACTGGGAATCTACTTCTCCAGTGAAGGGGTGGCCCCAGCCACGTGGCAGAGAGCCCTCGAGAGGGCAAAGCAGGCAGCCGACCGCATTCACCTCATAAACCTCACGTTACTTGAAAAAGCGCTGGTAGCAAAGACCACCGTTTGCGCGTTTGCGTTCTACGCCAGTAGGGTAGCGGTGATCCCTAGGAAAACCGTGAGCCAACTGAACGCCGTGATCACCGATTTGCTATGGGAAGAGAAACCAGCACCAGTCAAGCGACACCTCCTTAGACTACCCGAGGACAAAGGTGACCTCGGCCTCCCACACGTACAAATGACCAGCCAGATACTGGCTCTCAAGATTACCCGCATGCTTTATTACGCAGCGAGTTACGTTGGGAAGAATCTAATCAACTACTGGACAAGCAACATCACGCACTATCTGGAAAACCACAAACCCACTGGCCCGCGCACGGAAGCGCCCTCACACTTTTACAGGATGGCGGCAACTACGACAAAGATCATAGAAAAAGAAGCCCCGAACTGCGACATTGACAAGGACCCACCCGCCCGAATCGTCGAAGCGATGACAGAAAACTAGTTGTCCTAAAAAGAAAACGAGCAGATCAAAAGCCTAGGACTGTGCAAACAAAAAGGCAATAAGTACCGACCGCGCGAAGTACATGACTTCGAGAGGAAGTGCAAGTGGCAAGTTTTGCCCATGAGATATCGCCTGCAGCGTTTCGGCATCACGCCGAATAGCCAGTGTCCTAATTGCTACGCTGAGGAAACGATCTTCCACGCGTTGTTAGAATGCGGGGCGGCCAAGTCGATATGGCGCCTGGTTGCGAGGTGCTTCAGCATCCGCCCTCCCCCTGGCCTTCGAAAGTTATAGGGGCTGCTTCGCAAGGCTGGTGATTGCCATCTCACTCTTTGTGATTTGGAAACGCCGGTGCCTTGCTGAGGTAAATAACACCTCAGTGAGAGCGGCCTACCCAGCACTAGCCATGATCAGGCAGAAAATAGTGCAGTACTTGGCCAAGCAACCGGAAGCTGGCGGGGAGGACCAGTTCCTTCGCCGCTGGCACACAAAGTTCTTTTTTTTCGTCAGAGGTGCGAAACTCCGTACCCCCATAATCCCCTACTAACCCCTTCTCCCCAAAACATTGTGCTACAAGTGTATGTATAGCGCCGGTCGAAGTATTGTAAATATGCCTACCCACGTTCACGATCTTTTGTAATTATATGTATATGTGATTGTAAATATTTATTTGTGGTTTTTATACGAAAGTATGCGTAGTTTAGCACAAACTTGTATATATGTATGTGTATGTATTATATATATATATATATATACATATATATATATATATATATATATATATATATATATATATATATATATATATATATATATGTATGTGTGTGCGTATATATATATATGTGTGCGTATATATATATAAATATGTATATATATATATATACATATATATATATATATATATCTGTGTATGTGCCGCTAGTTTCCTCTATGGATATTGGAGTTCGTATGCCCCATAGAGCACAAGAGGTGTGTCTAAACGAGCACTGTATATATAAAATGATGTAAAGAGTTTTTTTGAGTTTGAAGGTAATAAACCTCTCTTTGTATCGGTCCAAGACTGCTTCTGTAATCGGACTTTCCGTTTACCGTGCACAGGTTCGGCAAAATAAACTGTTAAATCCCAACATAAAGTCTCCTGTCTTCGGCCTTAGCATGACCCCGTGACAATATAGGTGGGCTTAAGACCCGTGTACTTAGATGTTCGTGCACTTTCAATAGTACAGGGTGGTCAAAATTGCCAGAACCATTTTATAAATTTTTATGTGGTGACAACAGTAATGACAATTCTCACCTTTGTTAGCAACAACTTGTCTTTCGAAGTTTTGATTCTGATGCTGCCTAGAATGAATTTCTGCTTTGCAGAAGATATATATATGTTTTGCAGCCATTGAATCTGTACTTCACTGTACCCCTAGTGATATTCAATACTCAGCAAATGCCAAAGAGAAACGTTTACGTCGTTCCACATAAAACAAAACTTGTTTTAAAGATCCTACGTGAGAGTTCATTTCCGGACAGATTTCGAAATGTGTCGTTTCTAATGGAGGACTTGTAATGACGACAAAAGTCGAGTAGAAACCTTGACCGTAATGTCATTTCCTGTTCAAACGTTTCAATTCACTTTTAAAGTATTTTAGAAAGCTCAAAGAAAGTTAACTTCAATTCAAGTGTCGATAATTTTTAATAAACGTCGAATGTTTTTTTCTTGGGTTGGAATAAAACTGAATAGCGTGAATTCTTTTATCAGTGTATTACAGAAATACAGCGCAGGCGTACGTAGCACTTTTCAAACAACTATAATTCGTAATTGTAGTGCCCAAATTGGCAGGGAGCCTGGCTGTTCATTAATAATTCGAGCCAGTACACTCAATGGCGATTGAAAATGAAATGAAAGATGATCGCACACGTAAAGGGTTAATTGTCGCAACTCCAAAACAAGTGCCAAACGTTCGTTTTCAGAATCGACACGACTACTCAATCGGTATCTCGCTACAGTAAACGTGGACATTTGGTTCGTCTGGTGTTTCCTCACTACGCATAAATACCAAGCATTGGCCTACAACGTTTCCGCGCGCATGAAAGTACAATCCTCAGCCAAAAGAAACAAATGCTCACATTTCCGCTCTCTGACGTCATTAGACACATTTGCACCAAACTACTGTATAGCCTTTTTTATGTTTTCATAATTTAGTGCAGTGCAAATACATTGTACCATGTTACATTTTCCTATATAGTGGTATTAGCCATATATATAATTAAATATAATTAAGTTTGTTTGCGTGAAAGTTGATATGTGAGCGCATAGGGGGACAGGTATCAATGTATACGATAGTCTCTAAACGGTGAACCTTGATTTCTGAAAACATTTTTTATTACACAGCTATACTATGTACTTCAGAATAACAAGTTTAGAAATGATTTTTAGAATAGTTTGTACTTTCCCTGTTTTTTTCGTACTAACGGGTGATGTACCTTCAATATTTTCTGCACTCTAGCCCTGTCTGTTTACAGATCATGAGAGTCATTTTGGAGCCGTTCTGGCGGATTTTACATATGGCGCCTTTTCTGTTTTTCTGGTGAATAAAAATTTGGGCTCAATTGAATGGAGAAGTATACCGATAGTACCTTGAAATATCTTTGTGTGTCACTTTATCAAATTTTATTTTATTGGGCTCTCAAGGTCAAAAGCATTACATATCATGAGTGGTGAGACATTCACAGACAAAAAATAAGAAAAGAAATGTAAAATGTTAGTAGAATAGGAACATGTAGAGTAAACTTTGATAGCCCTAATACGCAGTGTTAGCCAAAGAATCACAGAAATGTAAATAATGAGTATTATTTACAACGTCAACGTGAAGGCCACTCGAAACGCGAGTTCATGGCAGAAATGATTGATGAAAGTACATAGCATTACATGAAGCTGTGGCGTATCTCTCTCTTTATTGATATACATGTGAAAACTTGTTTGCAGCTGAGTAGCGAATAATCTTTATGATGTGTTTATTAGGCATAACACTTTGCAGTGCTTGGGTATCCCCATACTTTTTTTTCAGAAAGGAGGAGGCACGCTTTCAAATTTTGACAGAAAGAATTCTTTTTGATAAGGCCTGTGCATCACACAGGGAGAGCGGCGAAGGTTTCGCCAAACGCTCGGAACGGCCGCCGTGAGAGCAGATAAGTATTGGGACTTACAGGGCCTCAGAAGAGGTATTGCGATGCCACAGCACTTTCCGGCTATAAAACCGGTACTTTTTCGTTGAAACTACAACTTGTGCTCTTCTGCAGCAGTATAGACATTTGTCGTTCGTCAGCATTGTGTTAAAACCAACAAACGCTGTCTAGAAACCAGCTCGTTTGAGAAACTGCTATAGCTATTGCGCAAATAATGCAACAACGTTTATAAAATAAGCAAATCGTGTGTTCAAAACAAATGTATATTTTTTTGATAATTTACTGGTGATCATAAGGACTTACAGAAATATTTCTTACTTCCGTTTTTGTTATGGTTATGCACATTGTTCACAATATGCTATGCTTGATGAATGTTTTCGCTAAGCATCAACATCACTGATATAAAAAATTAAATTTACGAATCTGTAATTCTGCTTCTGTATTCCAGTGCCTGAATTGTGCGATGCTATTTTTATGTTTTTGTAAAGTTATCCTTACTATTTGCTTAATTAAATACAAATGTATCTCAGTATCAGCTTCTAAGCTTCCAACACATGAATTTCGATATCTGTGTTTCGGAATACTTTGGGTATCTGTGCCCAGCCCTGGTATTCGGTAACTACGCGCATGCACTCTGCCTATGTTAGGACATGGCTTTCATATAAAACTACGTACTCAGAGAATCCAGGCTCTTCTGGGCGGATGCAGCACCTAGTACGACCGCACTATAGTGTCCACATTCACCTCGACCGCGCTGTACAATGAAAGTTGCGTGGAAACATTGGCAAAGTGAGTAAATGACACAATGTTGTGAAAGAGTCATCAAGAAGAAGAGAGAGGAGAGCAATGAAAGGCAAGGAGGTCAACCAGACGCGAGGAAGGTTTGCTACCCTTGAAAAAAAGAGGGTAGCAAGTACAGTTAGGGTGCATGCTCAAGGTCGAATGAACACTTACAAGCTGTCGCCTACTCCGGTCAATTTGAAAATCAGTTAAGGTTAACGTTAAGGATGTTGTAGGTAGCCGGCGGATCTAGCCTGGCATAGTTTGCAGGCAAGTGCCCCACCCGGTTTTCTCTTTGCTAATTGTAGCTAATGTCTTTTGCTTGTTTTTTTACTAAGCACAAGCAGGCTATTACAATAAAAATCGTGCATAGCGCGACGTAAGCCTGCATAAAACGGCAGCTTCTGTGCTATTCCACGTGCAGTATTGTGCTGGTACTCTATCTCGCTGCACTATACTTCAAACATAATTGCCACGTATCACCAGTCACATGCAAAGTCTGTAGCATTCAATAATTTCAAGAGAAGTCGCGACACCCGTTTCCCGAAGATCGAGGGACCACGCGGAAACACAATATCAGTCACACTGTCACAAGGCGAGCCTAACCTTTGCAGTTCCTCAAAGAATCCTTAACGTTCTTTCTTAAGCTCACGACATTTAAGCAAATAGTGTTCTATATCACCACTTTTCTTGCACCTCAGGCACAAGGGCGTCCCGGAGAGTCTGACCTTGTGGAGCCATGTTGGTGCACACGCTGATCCCGTTCCGATGCGACGAAGCAAGCAGGCCTCTGCCCGTGATAGCCCTTCTGTCACATGGCTGCTGAGGCGTCAGCCATAACAAGTGAAAATGCTTATTGACAGCTTCTCGTGAGATGCGCTGATTGTCTTTGGGAACCTTCTTCGTTGGTGTAAGCTCCAGAGCACTGCGGGCAAGTATGTCAGCCACCTCATTACTCGCTATACCCACATGTGATGGAATCCATTGAAACTTAATGTTTATATAAATGTCATGCAGGTCTTTAAGGATTCGCAGTGATCTTTGAGTGCTATGATCCAAAACCAATCCGTGTTTTAGCCACTGCAAAGTGGGCTTACTGTCCGAAACCAGCATGACTTTTTGCTGCCTACAAAACTTCAGTTTCTTCAAGGCTGCCTGAATTGTCACGCTTTCACATGCTGTCGATGAAACGACGCACTTGAGTCGCACTGTCCAGGACGCCTTTAGATACGGGATCACAAACGCTGCAGCGCTTGCTCCACGCACTATGTCGACTGATCCATACGTGAAAACTGTCATATGATCGGTGTACTTTTCTTAAATATATTCTAGTAAAAAAACGTACTTCTGCTGTGGGTGTGGAACGCTTGCTGTGCAACCGTGCAATCGTCATATCACAATCGACCGCATCATGCGACTAAGGTGGTTCTTGTCGAAGTTGTCTTTGTTTGGGGAAATCAATGCCAAGATGGTGAAGGGTGTTGAGGGCCACGAAAGCTCGCGATTCCGTACGTCGCCGATGGTGACTGAGTAGTGCGCGTCCTAGGCTCAATTTGCCAAGTCAGCAAAGCTGTGTCAGCAGTCGTTGAGATGCGAGAAGACGTACCGGCGGAAAACGAGCCTCATGAAGCATCTTTATGCTCGCTACAAACTTTGGCACTCCCAAAGCGACTCTTGGGCATTTACGATGAATTTTTTCCAGCCGTTTCTACTGCGACTCACTCGGAGATATCAGAGGCAATTGGGAAAGCACGCGATTGACAATTACTGCCTCGTGTAACTTTATCATTGATGTTAGGTGGCTCCTCCAGCATGCTCTTGCCATCTTTCGAATAATGTTTACACGGGTGACAGCGCTGACATTGTCTTGTCTACTGCCAGTCACCAATTCATCCTTGTGTCTAGTGTGACTCCAAGGGATCTCATGTACTCACCTTGCTTAATTGATGCATCAGGAAGTAATATTTTTATCCTTGTTTCTCGTCATCGCATACCTGGGCATAGCTTGAATTGAGACTTTTCAGCTGATATTGTTAGTCCAATAGATTCAAGATAGGTTTGTGTGAAGGTATAACTCCTTTGCCAATCATTTCCAATCGCTTATGCTAATATCCCGACAGCCAGATGCATATGTTGTTGGCATAAATTGATATGTGTACTACCTTGCTCACAGTCTTCAAAGCATTGGGTAAACCAGCCATGGTCACATTGAACAAGATTGGAGACAGGACACTGCCCTGTGGCACTCCTCTGGTTATTTTCCTTGAGCTACTGACCACTGTACCAAACTTTACCTGCATCGAGCGATCATCAAGAAACGCCTGATCTAAACGTAAAAGGTGCCTCGTTATTCCCATAGACGGAAGACCACAAATTATTGCACCCTGGAATACGTAGTCGTACGATTTTGAAACGT